TTCCCAATATCCCATCCATCCCTGCCCTCTGGCAGTGGGAAGCCATTCCCTGTGTCCTGTCCTTCCATCCCTTTTCCCAAGTCCCTCTGCAGCTCTCCTGGAGCCCCTTGAGGCACTGGAAGGGGCCCTAAGGTCTCCCCGGGTCTTCTCTCCAGGCTGGACACCCCCAGCTCTCCCAGCCTGGCTCCAGGGCAGAGGTGTTCTACCCTTGGAGCATCCCTGTGGCCTCCTCTGGACTCTCTCCAGCAGCTCCACATCCTTCTTTTATTGGGGACCCCAGAGCTGGAGGCAGCACTGCAGGTGAGGTCTCACCTGAGTGGGACAGAGGGGCAGAATGACCTTTTAATGAAACAGCCAAGCTTGTGCAAGAGAAAGGACAAAGAAATGTCCTGGGAATACTCAGTGCCCAGCCATTTCTGGGAGCCCAGAGTTCATCCTGGGCTTGCTGAAGTTGCTAGAATACTCCTAGGACTGGTCTCTAGTGAGGTATGTGGTGGGACTGGGGAATAGTCTCATCCTCAGAAAGAGGAGCTGGGGGTCTGGACCCAATCTTTGCAGGTTGTGGAGCTGCTTAGTACATTAACCACCTCTCTGGTGAGCTTCCTTCGAGTTATTGTGGGTGATGGCAGCAACAGCTCCTGTGGACACATCACTTGGGGGGCTGTGAAGTCCTGAGGGAATCTCCCTTCCCTGGGACCAGGCTTCCCTGTGCATCCCTAGCTGTCCCTTGCCTGCTGGAGATTGCTCCAGCCTTGCAGCCCTGAGTGCTGGGGAGCAAACCAGCTTGGTGAGGAGCCAACAAGCTGCCTCAGCACCTGCAGTGCTACACACAGGAGGTTTTCTGTTTTCAACACTTGGTTAGGGTCAGGAGCAGCCCTTGGCTCTGTGTCCTGCAGGAACAAAAGGTTCCCCTGCTAGAGACTTCCCTTTGAACCTGCTGCACTGGCAAACTGCTCCTGCGCCCTCCATATGGTCCCTAAAGAGAGCAGGACTTGCTGAGATCCTGCTCTCCCATCCATGTGGGCAAGTTTCCATCAGTTAATTTGCTTTGCTGCAAGGGGCAGAAAGCAGGGCCAGGTCTTCTCAGCAACCTCTCAGCTTCCAATCTGCTTGTCCACACCCAGCAGCTCTGGGGCTGTGCACACACACCCCTCTGTAGTGCTGGGAGCAGCCAAAAGTTTGGGAGATCCTCTGTGCAAAGGGCCAAGAAGGGAGGGGTACTCATGTTAAATTGATTGTGAGCTGAAAATTATTTTTCTGCATAGTGGAAAGTAGAGTCATAAACTCCTTGTGGCATTAATCATAGCTGGTGTTTGAAGGGAAAGTTGTTATCTCTTGGTCTGTGCTGCGTTAGCAGTTGGAAGTCTCAGTCTTGGCTCTGCTAGGAGCAATCCTGGCACAGGGGAGAAGTCACATCTTGTTCTGGAGAACTAATAATGCATAAAAGCAAATATTAGGTGGGTATGGCTGGTGGGGAACTGAGCTGGTGCTTAGAATCAGCAAGGTTGGAGGAGACCTCTAAGATCAAGTCCAACTGTTAACCTGTCACTGCTCTAACCCTTAAACCCCAAACCAGTGCCATGTCCAGACACCTCTTGAACACTTCTAGGGGACTCCACCACCTCCCTGGGCATAGAATCGTAGAATTGGTTGGAAGAGACTCTAAAATCATCGAGTCCAACCATTAACCTGTCACTGCTGTAACCCCTAAACCATATCCTCCAGCACCAGGTCCAGACACCTCTTAAACACCTCCAGGGATGGTGACTCCACCACCTCCATGGGCAATATTCCAGTACTTGAACATCCTCACAGGGAAAACATTTTTCCTACCATCTAATCTGACTCTGTGGTTTGGCAAACTGAAGGTTGCCCCTCCAAAAGGGGCTGAGAGCACAGAGGAGATGCTGGTTGGGACTGGTCTGCTCTTGTGTCATGTAATGCATCACTGGATGTATCACTGCTCCAGCTGCTCAGCTGCACTCCAGCTCCACAGGGATGATTCCCCACGCCCAGCACTGCAGTGTCTGCATGTGAGTGGATGGGACCATGGTGTGCTAGTTGTGCTGAGCTTAAGCATCTTCCATTCCCATCCCTGAGCAGACTGTGTGTATGCACAGACATCACTCAGGCTTCCACCAAAATAATCCCCTAGGGTGTCTGGCCAGGGTGATAATGTAAAAGGAATGCAGGGAGGGTAAGAAGAGAGAGGATAAGCATCCTGGGTAGAATCCTGCCCTGGTCCCTAATGTGCTGGTTCCTCTGTGTGCTGCCTCTCCTCCCACCCTGCCTGGGAAGGGCAGGCACTGCCTGTACTTGTCATGCCAGTCACACACATGCTGGTGCACAGACTAACACCCTCCACAATAAATCTAAAAGATTAATTACCAAAAAAAAAAAAAAAAGAAAAAAATCCCACAACCCCACTTGCAGCATTTGAAATGCGTCTCAACTGTTATTCATGGGGAAAAGAAATCACCTCCTGAATTGAGCAATTGAGAATGCAAATATCCTAGCCTGGCTCAAAAGAGGAATCAAGCTCTGTACTGTCAAGCTGATTAGCATCCCCTTACTGGGGTAATGCCCTGAGCCCAGAGAGAAAATTTGGGGATGAGTGTGCTTAATGCTCTGGGATGAGGTTTGTAAGTTTTGGCCAGGGAGAAATTATAGCCTTGCTGCTCCCTGTGTGATGACAGCCCATAAGATATGTTTTCTTGTTCTCTTGATGGTGACTGCCCTTTCTCTGGTGAGATCTTTCAGCCTTTTGTTTCCTGTCACTGACCAGCTGTTTTTTGTGAGTTGAGTTTTTTTTGTTGTTGTAAAATTGAAGCTTTCTACAGGCAGTGGAACAAAGATTTTCTTTTTTCTCTTGTGAGCAGGGAGGGAAAGTACGTTGGAGCAGTTTCTCATGGGACTGGGACTTCTGCTTGCGAGGAGGATTTTACACTTTGTTTTGCCTTTTTTCCCCCCTTTCCCTGAAAGCAGTGTAGACATGTCTTCCAGCAAGACTAGGAATTATATCCTCATCCTTTCAGTCCATATCTCAGCAGTAGGGTGGGAAATGCAGCATTTGGGAGTTGACTGGAAATATCCAGCAAGAAAAAAGCAAAATGAATCCCAGCCTGCTCCTTGTTGTTATATCCCAATGAACCTAATTCCTCTATAACATTCCTCATTGCCTGTTGCAGATGTCAGAGAGGAAAATAAAGCCAGAGCTTCCCTATTAAGTGTTCTTCATGTGTTATTACCCATGTGCAGGAGCGTGGCTGGAAATTGTGATGGCAGTAACAGGCTGTGCCGGGTCTTTTTGCCCCTGGAAAGCTGCTGTGAATCCTTTTTTTCCAACTTTATTTTCCTTCCCTGACCGATCCTCTCTGTCTCCCAAGTGTGTTGCCTGCAGCAATGTCCAGGAGACATGGATGGAGCTGTTTGACCTGTGCTGGCAGTCCCAGGGATGAGTGGGTCTGTGCTGAGGAGACATTTCTGGGTGTTTCATGTGAGATGTGTCCCAGGCCTTGGGTTTTTCCTAACCCACCCTGCCAGATCAGGCACTGGGATGGGTTTGCTGCCACTGTCTGAGTTAAACATCTCCTGTTAGATTAAGGCTGAAGAACCAGAGCTATCACTGCTACAACGTTTGTATGTGAAGTGGAATTTCCATGGAGCTCTTCCATTTCTCACAACCAAAATGACACCATTCTTCTCTCAAGTTCCCTGCTTGATGCAGCTTGTTCTTTTTGAGTTACAGCCATCAGAAACTAGAAGAAATCTCAGTGTTTCATGTTAGGGATAATGAGTTTATCATCGAGTCTGTCTCCATTTCAATTTTGCTCTCATTAAACACATTTCTCTTGTTTCTTCCCTAGAATGCCAGGACTGGTGGGCAGCAGGTTGCAGACAGAACACTTCTGCACTTCCTGCAAACTGCACAGTCTGTTCTGCTGTGAAAAGCCTTCAGATTGTGACAGACTTGAGTGAGCTATCAGCAAAGCATCAGCCTTTCCTAATCAAGGTAATGCATGTAAAGCTGATTAATCCAAATTCTTGAACAGCCCCAGCCAAAGACCCTTGCCCAGGGTTTTCACTCACAAACTCAAACTGCTGATTGAGGTAGAACACATGTCTAAGATGATGTTTCACCCCAGTGTAAAGATGTGGGGGGTGAGAGCTCAGTGCATCCTTAGCAAGTTGTTCCTCTGCCTAATGATCAGTGTATTTGGAAATGTGACAGTCTAGATGGCTGTCACTCCTGAATGTTCTTTGTCAGGGTGGAAATAGGAGGAAACTTAGGTGCACAGCTTTTATCTTTGTTTCATGTCCTTTAAGACAGGGCAGCATCTCTCCTATGAAGAGCTGAAGCATTTTCAGTCTCAGGATCCAGAACTGGCAGAGGTTATAATAGAAGAAAATTCAGCTGAACCGTGGAGCTGCCCATTTTTCTCCCCCCGGTGAGTCAAAGATAAAAGGTGATAGATGGACTATTCTTTCTGCAGGAGGTGCCCAGGCCCTGCCTGTGTGAAACACCAGTGCTTTAACTGGAGGGAAGGAGAACAGGAGTGGGTTTCAAGCTTTTGTCTGCTTGCTGGCACTGATTTGTTCCAAGGACAAGACTTCTGCCCCCCAAAAATTAAATGTTGTGGGTTGGACTTCAGGTATTGCTCCCCTTACAGGACAAAAATGTCCCAGTGGCTGCTCAGTCCAGTTCTTCAAGCTGTGCATTAATTACCTGGGCTGTGGTCTGATCACCTGAGGCAACTGGTTCACATTTCTAATCACCTCTGTCTGCTCAGTGGAAATCCTCCACAGTTAGTGATACCCACAAAGTGATGCCATGACTTTTGCCAACACTGAGAAGTAACAGGAAGCCAAGGAATGCTGCAATTGGTGTTTGGTCTCCTGCAGGAAACATGGCCAACCCTAATCTTGCCCCTGATTTTTGCCAAAGCTTTTAGTGTGGCTACAAGACATGTGGACAACTCGGAGCTCTCTCAGGTTGCAGAGCAAGTGATGGTCAGGGTACAGAAGGATTAATCTTGTCAAGCCACTAGACAGGGATGTAAAAATAACAAGCCCCACAGTGCCTTTTCCAGTTACATCTCCTGGTCTGGAGAATAGACTTGGATCCCCCCAACCCCACGTGGTTTCAGCTGTGGTTGTGTACAATGCCACTTTTCTGCTCCTCTTATAATTGATGGATCCTGTCAACGACTCAGATCATTTTAAGGGAAGAGGAAAATGAACTTCAGGCATCCATCATGATCTGTTTGTTCCCTGTGTACCTGGTTCTGCAGAAACCAAGGGGAAGATGGGAAGGAGCAGAAGTTTGGAGGCTGAGGTTGAATTTTGCTCTTAGCTCCCAGGGCTGCTGTGTCCTGCTGTTTATCAGGCCATGAATGTGTGAAAAATTTTACCTGGAAAGTAGCTATTAATACAAACATTATCCTTGTGGAATATTCCTTTAATATGATTTGTTGTATTTAGGAACAAATCTGTGAACAAAACTTGGATTCTGCAGGAATTTTTCCATGATTCCTCTTTGCTGTCCTTCCCTAAGACAGTGTCCCTGGAGAGCTGCTTCCTCATCCGCCGTCCAGATTTGGGGAACAAGGTGAGAAGTTCAATCCAGAGACATTATTTGCCTGTCTGTGTGTTGTCCTCCAGCAGCTCCAAGTCTTTGTGGGATCTGCAGGACATTTTCAGCTGATACAATCCTGACAGGAAGGGCATAGGGTTGTATCAGTTGTGTCCATCCCTGTGTGAAGTGACATCTCAAGATGGATGTACCTCCCTGCAGTTGTGTCTAGCTTTGGGCTGGGGATACACCACATCCATATCCCTCAGCAGGTGGAGATGTTAGAGAATCAAAGAAGGAATCCCAGAATGGTTTAGGTTGGAAGGGATCTTAAAGATCATCTCATTCCAACCCCCTGTGCCATGGGCAGGGATGGCTGTGTGGTGTCCCAGCTTCATTCAGGTTTATGTCTGGCCTTGCTCTGTAGCTGACTGAGGGGATGATCTTTTTGTGCAGTTTTGAGAGTTTCAGAGTTATATTTTAGGAGCTGTTCCAGGCAGTAAGTCTCATCCATTCTGATATTCCTGCCATGGAGATATTTCACTGAAGATAGTGACACTTCAGGCTTCTGTCCTGATCTCCTCCTCTGTTTTCTTGTGGGTTTTGGGGCCTGCATTGCCTTGGAGGGGAGGAGGACCCTTGCAGTGACCTCAGCTGTGATTTTGTGATCTCTTGTAATTCAGGAGAGCAGCAAACCTGTTGCTTGCACTGTCTCTCCTGGCTGCAGGGCAGTGAGTTTTGGTCAGACAGAGCCAAGGAAAGCTGCCCAGGGTTTTGAAATCCTCTCCTCTCATCCTAGAGCTACAGTCTGCACAGCCTCTTTGCTGTTGGAAGTGGACAGCTCACCCTGACTGTTGTACCTCTGGACACATGCAGAGGACACTGTGAGATGTTCAAGGTGGAGCTGGAGGCTGGGGATTTTGGTGAGTACCAGAGCTGTGGTGTGCAGGGTCTGGGGGATCCCTTGGAGTCAGGAGACTTCCAGTTGGGTTTTTTTCTGTCTGGCACCTGGGGCAGTGGTGTGTGCCATTGCCACCTCCAAATTGGTGTGTGTGTCACTGCCACTTCCAAACTGGTGTGTGCCTGCTCGTTGCAGTACAGAGGAGTGATCCTTCTGGCCTGGGAGTTTGTGGCCTGGAACAGCCCCAGGGGGATACCATGAGATGCTCAGTGTCAACACCAAGCAGTGTGGGTTAACACCAGACACAATGGGTGTTTACAAACCCTGTGCTCACTGAGGGAAGTGTCTTTCCAAAGAGCTCTAGCATCTCCACATCCTTTTATGGGAAATGGGAGCAGTCATTAAGGATGGGCTCATCTAATAAGGCCTCTCCATTGCCTCTCCCAAAGGTTATGCCAGCACAGATTACTGGACAATGAGCTTCGTGGCCAAAGGGACAGAGCCAGCAGTGGTGTGTGATGGAGCTGCCAGCTAAGGACAGCAGGGTGGGAAAACAGTTGTTCCCAGGACAAGAAGACTTTCAAGAAGCCAAGACAACATCCTGAGAGCAAGCTGGGGCAACTGGGGCAGGCAGCTTGGCCACTCTGCATGTTTACAGTGTTTAAAATGACTGTTTTCCTGATCCTTGAGGTAATTCTTTGCCTTTCCTCAAATGTATTTTGGGAGAACTCAAGCTATTTATGACCTTCCCTGTCCCCTCAGGTAAGCCCTGGGTTTGCAGCAAAAGGGTTTGTTGTTTTTTTTCTCCAAGAGCAACAGAAGGATTTCTCAGGATGAGATTCACCTTGTGTCCTTTGTGGATTCTGGCACTTCTGAAACTTCCCTGGGGGGGTTTGGGAGTGGAGGAGGGGTGTGACATTTCTGTGTACATTCCTCCTGAGGAGGAAGCTCTGAGCCTGTCCTGTCAGGTCAGCTCTATAAAGGGAATGAACTGGTGATGTGTCCCAGCCTCACCCCATCCCTCCCTCACATCCATGGCTCTGTGCCCCCGTGGTGTGTGTGCCCTGCAGAGCTGATCTCAGCTCTGTGCTCCTGAGCTGGGCTGAGCCCTGCAGTCTGAGACCCTCTCCCACTGCATCATCCTTGTACCCAAAGAGTCTCTTCAGGCCTCTCTGTGTTGTGCTCACTCTTCTGCAGTTCTCTGCCAGCAGGTTGGGAGTGAGTCAAATTGTAACTGTGGGTTTTTCCCATCCCTTTCCTGTAAAAATCCTGATGCATAAGTTAGTGGTGATGGTGCTGGGAGTGCAGGAGTTGTGGATGGAGATGGGGCTGAGTGCAGAGCAGCTCTGTACAAGTTCCACCTTGTCTGTGCACACCTGACACCAAGGGCTGTACATCCATTTTTCAGCTGCTTCTTGTTTTTGGAGGTGCTGCCTGTTCTCCCAGCCTGAGGTACCTATGGGAGCACCTGAAACTCCCTCATCCCTGGCAGATTTTTGCATCAACTCCTTCCAGACCTGAGACTCTCTCTTCAGAATGAACATTGGTTTTTCCTGAATCCTTTCCAAGCTGCCTTTGCATGCTTCCTGTGGCTGGAGCAGTGCTGTCTCCAATGCCCTGAGAGAGGCTCAGGTTCAGGGTTTGGAGGCTGTGGATGCTGTGGTCCTTTCCAAGCCTGATCCTTTGGGGCTGATCCCACTGCTGGAGATCATTTACAGATGTGTCAGGCTGAACTCATAGGCCAGGGCTGGGGTTCAGGACATACTCTCACACTTGTTAATATGGAACTGGGAGGGGTTTTGCTTGAAAGTGAGTTAACTCTGTTCTCAGGAGCAAGAAGCTTTTTCTCTGTAAATATTGTAGGTAGGTGTAAAATGACAGATTGGGAAAATGTTTGTCCAGCCTTTGTTTTTTTGAGAAGAAGGGAGCAAACATCACACTAATCTGATTAGGGGCTGACAAAAGCTGCCAAGTGGGATGACCACTTCTGGCTCCTGTACAAGGGATAAGGCAGAGGACAGTTCCTGCTCCAAAGAATTTAGTCTGAGGCCTTGACACTACAAACAATTCTATGCATAACCCTTGTTTTTCTCCTGTCAAAACAAAGAGAACAACCCCAGCACCTGTGCCAGTCTATGTGCTTGGCACTCAGTGCTGGGCCAACCCACACCAGATCTAGTTGAACCAAAGGGGGAGAGTCTGACTCTCTCAGGACAGAAAAGGACTAATCTAATTTGTAGCAAAATGTTAAAGGGAGTTGGGTTAGTAAGACTTCCATTAGTATTCTCAATGCTTGGGGTGTGTTTTACACTACATGCAACCCTGTACTTGCCAACACACACACACACACACCCCCCACTCTTCTCCTTCCTCTTAGAGCCTGGGTCTTAGTTAATGGAAATTCAGGAGTTTGGTGATGGCAGAATTAGGGCCTCGTTAGTGACTGTTGCTATTTACACTTTGGCAGCTTCTCAAGTCAAATTCAAAGGCTGACAAGGTTCCTTCACCTCTTTCTGGTTTCGTACCTGACCCACTTTTTGTAAGGCACTGGGTCAGAGATGCTGCTGGAGCCATTCTGGCTGAGATTGTGGCAGTTCAGTGATGCTGTCGCTGCTAAGTGTCCTTGATTGTAACTTGTAAAAGAGCTGCGGAGACAATTCCCAAGTGTCTGTGAAATGCCTGAATTTTGAGAGTCTCACTTAAGCCATTGTGAGCTGTCTGGCTCTTTTAGGAAGAAGCAGAGAAAATGGATCTATTTACAATTGCTGTTTAGATTGGGGGGTTGAGGGAAAGGGCTAAGCAGGTTTGTGCCTGTTTAGCTAAAGTGTTCTCACGTATTGCTTCTCCCTCAAAGAGTTGCAGCTGGTTGGACAGGAGATGGTGAGCCTGGCCTGGTTGCAGAGCAGTTTTCCAAGTGCACTTTATGGGCTCTGCATAAGTTTCCAGCTCTGTGTCTCGGCGATACATTGCATATGTCCCAACCTTGCTCCCTCTGGGGTTTACATCATTTGTTTTTAAGCTTTCCAGTATATTTTCTCTTCCTCTTCCAAAAGCTGTAAGGAATTAGCTGCTAAACTAAAACAGGAGGGCAGTTCTCCTGCTGATAAAGAGCCGATTTGGGCCAAAGCTGCTGTGGAGTGCAGAGCCCCAGTGTGTGCAGCTCAGCTTCTAGAGCAGCTCCTGTCTTCAGCTGCCAGAGAAGTAGTGCTCACACCTTCTGCAGCACAGCACAGGCAAAGCTGGGGTGGGAGACTCAGAGGTGAGGCCAAACTGGCAACCTAGGATGGCCAGTTTGGATGCCTTTAGCTGTAAGGAAGCCCTGGTTGTCTTCCTCATCCAGAAGCTGCAGCTTCCCAGAGCCTTTGGGAAGGCTGCAGGAGACTGGGACTTCCCTAGAGAGCCTGGTGGCTCCTAGTGATCTTCTGAGGCTGAACTGGGGGGAAAGGAGCTATTTCTGCAGCTGCTGGGGCACTGTGGTGACAGATATGGTCAGATGAGTGTCCCACCATGGTCTCCTTCACCTCAGCTCCCCTTTGGCACTTGCTATGCTGGTTTGGACAATCTCCCCCTCCCACCCTGCCCAGCTCAGGGGGGCACATAGTCCATATGTGTGTCCCAGTGTTTTAAAATCCCTTTGTGTGCTTCAGAGCATATTGTGTGTGAGCTGGGACATGGACTCCTGCTCACCCAACATCCCAGAGGCTGCAAAGCTGCTCTGAAATCCCACCAGAAGTTGGTACCCCAGTGGGCAGAGGTGAGGAGGGGTCACCTGTCTCCTTGCCAGGCTGGAAATAAGGGATGTCACCTGTCAGCTGGGCAGGAGGATCATGGTTTAAAGCTGCTTCCCAAAGCAGGGGTCACTACCCATTGCTCTCAGTCAGTCCTGAACTCAGGGTAACTGAAAGGAGGAGAAAAGAGTATTATGTTATGATTTACTTCAGTACCAGGAAATGAGCAGCCCCCAGGGGAGCCAAGCTGACAGCTCATATTGATTCTGTTTTTTGCTTTCTTTGTTTCATTTCTTTCTTTCCCCTCCCCACTGGGATTGCACACACTGATTCCCCTGAGGCAGCTCTGCAGTCCCCAACCTCAACCTCCCTCTGCAACGCCCTCGAGAGCTTTCTGGGGTCACATTTCCCATCAGTCTCAGGACTTCAGCTTCTCCCACTAGTCCTTTCACTGCAGTCATCTGGTGGAGAAACTGGTTTGACTGGGCTGGATCAAAGCACCTCCTTTCCCTCATGAAACCTCACATGGGAGCACCCCAAGCAGGAGGAGGTGAGGAGCAGGACAACATCTCATGATAGAGATGTGAGCTCCATAAGCACCAGTGGCTCATAAAGGAGATCCTCCTGCCTTGAAACCCCCTTGTTCACCTCAGTGATGCTGCTCCAGGAGGGATGCTCCCAGATCCAGATCCCAGAAGCACCTCCTTTCCCTCATGAAACCTCACATGGGAGCACCCCAAGCAGGAGGAGGTGAGGAGCAGGACAACATCTCATGATAGAGATGTGAGCTCCATAAGCACCAGTGGCTCATAAAGGAGATCCTCCTGCCTTGAAACCCCCTTGTTCACCTCAGTGATGCTGCTCCAGGAGGGATGCTCCCAGATCCAGATCCCAGTCCTAATGCCTGCTCCAGGAGGGATGCTCCCAGATCCCAATCCTAATCCCAGGCTTGATGGTCCCCAAGAGAACCAAACACTTCCCATGGTGAGGCCATTTCAGTGGGTGCACAATGAGCTTTTTGCTTCCTGCAAACCAAACTTTCTCCTCTTGGTAAATTTTATAGGTAGAAGTTGATATTCTTCTCTTCAGGAACCTCCTCCTTGTAAAGGGCAGATTTAGTGTCCTGCTGGGTTAGATGATGGGAGATGCTGAACTTCCCCTTTGCTTTGGAGAAGCAAATAATGGCAGGTGATTTGTTTTCAGCATTCTCTCTTGGTCTTGAGGAGGGGAGCCACATTCTGAAGGCTCAGGGGTGCTGGGGAGGAATGCTACATATATGCATAAAGACTGTTTCAGTGCTGAACACTAAATTCTCAGTGGTGGATTCATTAAAAAAAAGAATGTAAATATGCACTTAATGCAGAATTTTATGGATGGTCCTAATTTAATATATTGCAAACTTTGTAAATACTTGGAAAAAGCCTGTAAAGTGTGTAAATAAATGAGATTTTTATGTAAGAAGAATAAAAAAAAAGTTTTTACTTTTTGCAATTAAATGGAAGTGTTTAATGCACCTTTTCTCTCTTCCTGATTTGTCTTTTCATGTCACACCTCAGCCAGTGAGGGGTTGTTTAACCCTTTCGGGGGCACTTTTTCTAAGGGAAGTGTCATTTTAAGTGAAAAGTCAGAATATTTTTGTTTGAAAGATGTTAAAAGAAACACTTTGGGCAAAGGAGACACTTTGGGAAATGTTCTGTGAGTTTTAGCCTGGGTCTCTGAACAAAGTCAATGCGACAGCTCTTCCTTTCTTTCCTTCCCAGTAACAATCTCCATCTTTTCTTCACAATTCAGTTGATTTCAGCCAAACCTTGAGGTGTGGAAGACCATAAACTCCTCCAGAACTGATAAAACCAGGGAAGGGAAAGATCCTGTTACTACCAAGCTTTGTTAGGCACCAACCAGCCACACTGAAGAGCCTTGGCTGTAGTGACCATGAGAAGGTGGAACTCAAGATCCTGCATGGAAGAAGCAAAGCAGTAACAGAACTAGAACCCTGAACTTCCA